AACGGGAAAAGTGAGTCTTCAAGAGTAAGTCATTTACTAAAGTTCACATAAAAAGTAAGTGAATAATCGGGTGTAAACTCAGGTTTCCAGGAAGTCCTGGGCACTGTTGTGTCAGATGGTGGTGGACCTGGTCACTGGCCTTTAGGGTCTGGACCAGTTTCCTGGAGCTGGTTCACAGCCTGGGAGATACCATGCTGGTGGCTTCAAAGCACCAAGATGTATGCTCTCACAGGCCTGGAGGCCAGGAGTCCAGGATGCAGGTGTCAGCAGAGCCAGTTCCGCCTTGCTGAGGGAGAACCTGTGCTGGACAGATCCTTGGAGCCCCTTGGCTTGTGGACTCACGGCCCCAGCTGAGCCCCCGTCATCACACGGGCCCCTCCTTGGCCTCCAGTTCCCCTGCTCTCTTCTCATAGGATGTTGTTGTTCATTGTTGTTCAGTTGCTAAGACGTGTCCGACTCTTTGCAGCCCCATGGATTGCAGCACACCAGGCTCCTCTGTCCTCCACTATCTCCCAGAGCTTGCTCAAACTCATGTCCATCAAGTCAGTGATGCCATCCAACCATCTCATCCTCTGCCGTCCCCTTCTCCTCCTGCCTTCACTCTTTCCCAGCATCAGGGTCTCTTCAGTGAGTCAGCTCTTCACATCAGGTGGCCAAAGCATTGGACCTTCCTATAAGGCTACTGGTCACTGTAAACAGGGTCCACGCTAAACCAGGATGACCTGGTCTTACCTAGTGACATCTTCAAAGACCTTATTTCCGAGTTAGATTACATTTTGAAGTTCTGGATGGACAGGAATTTGTGGGGACACTATTCAACCCAGTTCAGAGTCTCCCAGATCTGGACTAAGGACCTTGGCCCCTCCCTGGCTTTGTGACCTCACAATCCTCACTCCCCTGGCAGTTGTGATGTCTAACTCAGGGGACAGTACATCCTGGTTTGCCCCAGATGGTCCCTGCTGCCCTGACATCCCTTTAACATTGTCCCGTTTACTCTCTAAAGTGTCTCTGTTTGAACAATAAATGACACAGTCACTCCACATGTGTGAAAGTCTAACTCACAGGAGGCTCTAAACAAGTAGCACCATCTAGTATCAGAAGAGGTGGCATTCAGGGACAGGACCACGGGTTTGGTAAAGGCTTTCTGTCACCAGGAGGTGAAAGCTGAGCCACAGTTAACAGCTTTGGCTATAAACCAGAAAGAACCATTTGTGTGCGGAGTGTGGAAAGGAGGATAAATCACGTGCTGGTTGGAGTGTGCAGAACTCTCCCGTGAGTAGATGCATCTCCAGCTCTGTGGACGCAGTCTCGTGGGTGTATTTAAGTCAACAGTTAAAAGGGGGGGAGGGTGAGGAGGATGGGCTGAAGCTCGTTCCCGACTTCTCTGGCTTGGCACGATCAGGCAAACAGCGCAGCTTCCAAAGACTGCTGAATTCCTGAATGAATTGTGAAGACATTTCCCAAATCAAAGTTCATGACACTCAAGTAGGGGTAATTCCAGTTTTTCAAGACACACAGAGTCTAAATCACTTTCGTTTCTTATTTGTAAAGTAACCTAATTCAATTCTTCCATTAGTTCTCACGGCAAGTGTCTTGAACTTTTTCTGCATCAGAATCAGCCCCGTTTGCCAGAAGTACAGTATCCAAGACCCCTACCCAGACCTACTGAAGACAATCGTTCAGGATGGAGCACAGAGGACCCTGATTTTTAAATACCATCCCTGGTGATTCTCTGCTCATTCACTAGAACCGGTGGCTGCAACCTCAGGGCACTTGTGATTCCGCTTGGACAGGAAGAAAGGAGGCCCAACCAGCTAGGGCCCAGCACACTGCCTTTACCTACTGATATTTATCACCAAATGTGGATTCAGGAGCAATCCTGAGACTCTTGAACACTTTTTCTCTTATCTCCTTAAATATTGAACTCAATGATGCCTTCCCATCTTCAAATCAACTAAAATGAAAGTGTAATTTTTCTCTGTGGCTTTATTGTTGTTACTGTTTAGTTGCTAAGTCCTGTCCGACTCTTGCAACCTGATGGATTGTAACCCATCAGACTCCTCTGTCCATGGGAATCTCCAGGCAAGAATACTGCAGCAGGTTGCCATTTCCTTCTCCAGGGCATCTTCCTGACCCAGGGAATGAACCCAAGTCTCCTGGGTCTCCTGCACTCCAGGCAGATTTTTTTTAACACTGAGCCATGCAGGAAGCTCCTTCTATGGGTATATTAGAATACAAAATGAGGACAGCAAATTCCACCACAAACCTGAAGAAAAGTTATATCAAAGATAATAAGTGATAATAAAGTGTAAAGATTTTTCGACTCTGAAAGCACTGGTTCACAAAGGATCAGCCTGTTGGTCTTGTTCCAAGGCCTTCCAGAATTTCAAAGAGTAAAATGTATATAAACATGCAACAACACACAAGTTAAGGTTTGCCCCACCAACATGTACTACGTGGATTACTCTGGAAACTTAGCCCCCCGCTGAATCTATTTCATAGAAAAACATAAAATGTTTACAAAGTCCTCCTACACCTCCCAGGGACTTAAATTTCAAATCACACTGTGCTGTTTTTAAGCCCTGAGATCAAGCAGGAAGAGATTTCTTTTATGTTGGAAAGGAATCAAGGGATTCGGGCATATTTTAGCTCATCTTTCATTTCCAAGCACTCCTTAGACATTAATAAGTGTAATCCCCTAATTTGGCAAAGAAATATAGCCCCCTAGATATTGGGCCTTTCCCTGGGCTTGAACAAAGAGGGCAAGACTGCCCCAAATCTGGGAGAGGGCCGCAACTCCCCAGACCTTTGACCACCCTCGTTCCCCAAGTTACAACTTTTCAGTTAGGAAACTAAAGAAAAGAAAAGAAAAATACTTAAAATGCAATCATAAGTGTGTCTATGTGTCATTAAGGATGGACATTTTTCTTGTCACTTTCCAAACTTTAAATGTGAATTTTTCTTCTAACTGCTGGATTTCATTCTTCTGGGGAAAAAGGGGGAACGCTTTAAGAACCCGAAAATGAGGCTTCCACCTAATACTAATTTTCTTCTTAGTTATAAAGGCTATTGTTTGTTTGAACAAAGAGAAATAGGAGCTATTAGCAGCTGTTTACATTATAGGAATGAGGGCACAGAGGGGGGAGGGGAGGGAACCTTGCTTACTAATGAGCAGGGGACGGGGGTTACTTGGAAAATGTAGGCCCCCAAAAGGAAAGACGCCACTAACATCTTCTAGTCCTTCCATCCAACCAATATGCTGTATTGATCATTATTGTTAAATGCCACCAACATACTTTAGATAGATTAGGTTTAGTGTTAGAATTTAGATTAAACAAGCAGAATCTGATTTTCAAAACCAAAACCAAAACCAACACAGCACCCTAGAACTCTGGGAGCAGGTTTGTATAGAAACACCCTGGAGCCAGGCTGAGCACCCAGGGCAGCCACGTGGGGGTCGCCACCAGCCCAAGGAGCCCTGGCTTCTCAGGAGGGGCCGCAAAACAGGCCCTCGATAAATATTTATAGAACAAATGAGTGAATGAATTTCACTTGAATTAAACATGACTCGTCCACGCCTGGCATAATTCCCTTTCATTCCAGTGAACGGAAGCCTGGCTGAGAGCAGGAAAGTTCCCTGAGCTGCCCAGCTGCCTGGGGGCTTTTCCGGCCTGGGCAAGGGCAGGAGGAAGCCCCAACCAGCTCATAGTCACTCCTCAGAATACTTTTATTAAAGGGGAAAAAAATCACCAACGATGATACCCAGTGACAAGCTTCTGCCACCCACCCATTCCATGTTCCACCTGGTCATGCGCTAGTTTCAGACTTAGGGCACAAGTGACCCAAGTCAGAATTCTTTTTTTCTTTTAATCTTTGGGGAAGAAACAAAAGGAGAAAGCACAAGTGCAGATTAAATATGAGTCAGGTCCAGGCTTTTAATACCACTATGTTTAACTCACCAGATAATCAGAGCATTAAATGCAGGCATAATTTGTCAGCAAGCTCCCTCCATTGTTCCCTGAAGCATGCGGGGTGGGGGGTGTGGGCTGATTCAATTCATGTGGGAATCGGTGTTTACATCCACGAGTCCTAATGGAAAGGCACACCGTTTTCAAACTGGAACAAAAAATCATAATGCCCTCTGCCACTAAAGCTGGGGACTTTGCGATGCCTCTCTCCCAGGTGGACGAGCTACGTTTGGAAAGATGTTTTCTTCCGTGTGGAAATCTCTACTTGCTAGCTACTGCAGCAAGTCCCGGAAGGGCTGGAGCCTCTCCAGTTCGAGTTTTATAAGTCTCCAGGAAAAGCGGATTCTGCTCTCTGCCTCTCCCTCACTACTTAACCTTTCTTTTTTTCCTTTTTTCCTGTAAGAGACTTTCATTTGTTGCTTCTAGAAAGCCAGGTGCATGGCAGTCCAGCTCTCTGGCAGAACCTTGTTTCCTGCTGGGTCACCCACGGCGCGCGGGCTGCGGGCAGGGGCTGCAGAGAAGGGCTGCGGGGAGGAGGGGCCGCCGCCTGGGGACCCGCGGTCTAGGCCCCGGCCCACCCCTTCGGGCCGCCCTGAGCTGGGAGGGAGTCGGCTTTTCCACGACACGCACTGACTAATCCTTCAGAGATTAAAAACCTTCTGTGAGCCCAGCCTTCCCCGTGGCAGCCCAGAACAAGCGAGTTCCCGGGATTTGGGGTTCCAGAAGCTCCGGCAAACAGCGTTTGCATAAAATGGGGGCGTGGGGGGGGGAGGGAGGGCTCTCGGAGTGCCTGTTTCACACGGTTTACAGTCTGGAGTTGCTCTTAGCCCTTGTGCTTGCTTTTAAAAGTGAGGCAGTGGCATTTTGCATTTAATCCAGGCTAAAGCTCTTTGGTATAGTGACTTAAAAGGTCTTCAAGTGGCCAAGACTGCACAGCTTGGATCCCATCTTGCAAAGGTTACGAGTCCGTTTCATAGAAGGTCTTTGTGGGCCCAAGCACAGGCCTCTGTCCTGAAGAAAAGGCGCGGGGGTTTAAGCAGGGTTCTCCCGGCCCACCCACCCCGCCCCGTCTGTGCGCCCTGCGGTCGGTCGGCGAGGCCTGCGGGCGCTGCGGGGCTGCGGACACTCGCTTGTAGCATCCGGATGCAGGCGGAACCACCTCCACCCGCGTGGCCGCGTCCTCCCAAGAAACCGGAGCAGGATCCGGAGCAGGTCAAGGAGGCGCGGCCCAGACCAGCCAGCAGGGGACGCCGCGGGCCCTGCCGAGACAAAGGCGCGCGGCCGGGAGCCGGGAAGTGGGGGCGGCGCCCGGGGCCGGGGGGGCGGCGCCCGGGGCCGGGGGGGCGGGGGGGCTCCCCTCCGCGCCCTCCGCAGCCGCAGCCCAAGCCCGCCCGCGGCCCGGGGGCTGACCCAGGGCAGCCCGGCCCCCCGGGAGGGGACGGGCGGGGGGTGAGCTGGTATCTTTCCCAAGATGGTTCCCACGGGCCGCGCGGTCGCGGGCATCTGTCCCCGCGTCACCGACGGGCTTCTCCGCGTCGCAGCGCGGCCGCCCGGGGCGCTGCGAGGTGGGGACCCCAGGCCCGCATGGGCAAGGCCGCCGAGGCGTGCAGGGTCCCGGGGGGCAGGTCCTCCCGCCCGCGCCTCCCGCCCCCCGGCCACTCCCCGCGGTGACCTCATTCCTGGGTCGCGCCGAGCAGCCTGCCTTCCGCGCCCGGGACCTTGCAGGCTTTTGCGTTTGCACACGCGGCGCGGGCGGCCTCGTCCTTAGAGAAGACGCCGCCTTTATTTCTGGCACCAACCGGTGCCCCCCTTCCCGCCCCCCGCCCCCGCCACCGAGCAGTCACTTTGGCACGGCGTCACGTGGCCCTCGGGGCCGGCTTCCCGCTCCGCACCAGGTGAGCGCGGAGCCGCGCACACACCGTATGCACGGCCATCCCAGCCTGGACCTGCGAGGCTCGGGCTGCTGCCAGGCTCCAGTGCAAGTCGGGCCAAGGCGGCCTGACGGGACCTGCCACGGAGCCCGGGGCCTCGGGAGAGTCTGCGCGGGGCCCTGCGGCAACACAAAGAGCCTGTGAGTCAGGCTCCTCCCACCGGCGCGCAGGCTCCTCCCCAGCGAGTGGGGGACACACGGAAGCATCTTCACCCACGCGGGCCACACCTGGGGGCTCCGGATTTCTGCGCCCTCTGTCCTGCTGCCCCAAACCCTTGGGAACCCAATCCAAAACTTTAGTTTCCCTGGCTCCATGGCCAGGTCTTTCCCAACACTGAAGGGATTAGCTGGGGAAAAAAAAATCAAAGCCAAGTTTTGAGATTAAATTTCCTGTGTATCTTCAATACATTAGAACAGAAATTCAGAGGGGGAAACAGCATTGGGAACGAACTTTTCTCCTGTGCCCCAGTGAACCCACAGCCCCCTCGCCCTCCCCACCAGAGTGGGGAAGATCTGAATACTGTGATTATAACAGACTGCATTGGACACATTTTCTTTTTTAAGATAAAAGTTTTATTTAAGAGAGAAGCACAAAGACACCACTGTCGTGAACAAGCCGGGGCCTCCCGGGGGCTGGAGGACCTTCCAGATGGGAACAAAAGGCGTTGGCTCTTGATTAAGGGAAGTCACTGGTGGGCCCAGCCCCTGGGCCCCGGTCCTCCCCCCACCTCCGGGCCCTGGGCTCCCACTGCAGAGGTCCTTGGGCGCCAGACCTGGTGTTTCCCTCTCAGCCCCCTTGCTAAGTCACCCCCAGGCCTCAGCCTGCTCTTGCCCCCACTTGTCATCCCCATCAGGGCTCTTGTCCTCTTTAATCAATAGAAATTGATTAGAGGCCAGTCAAGAAATTCAGGCAAGGCTTTATGGGGGCCACTGCTGCAGCCAGAGGGAGGGAGAATAGCTAACAGTCCCCTTGCTAGCTCCCGAGGGGGGTCGAGCTGGTTCCTTATATGGGATGCGGGCAGGGGTGTGGCCAGGGGGCTGGCTGGAGGGGTGGTTTAGATGGTCTGCACACCCTTTGCTGGTGTGGAGTGCAGGGGGCACAGGCAGGACCCTGCTTTTGCTCCTGGGTCTTCAGAAGTGGCAGTTGGGTTTTTCCTATCTTAACCTGTATCGTATTGTCTGTAACTTGCCCCAACCATACACACACAGTTATTTTTAGCCCCTTTGTATCTTGTTGCTTGAGGACACCTTTGTCCAGGTGCAAGCATTGCAGCACTGCCGCAAAGCCCTGCAGGACTGGGCTTACCTCCTGGATTCCCACGAGATTCTCGCCGTTACCCGTAAAGCCCCAGCCTTGACCTTCCTCCATTCTTAACTTTGGCTGTCGCCACCTTGAAGGGACCCCCCCTGGAGCGTTCGTTCCATCCCCACGTGTGGACTGAGCTCCACGTGCACCTCAGCACCAGACTCACTGCCATCTTGGAGGCGTCGCCGTTTCTCTAGTTCATCCTCAGCTCAAGTTTCAGAGCCACGTGACTGGGGGTGGGGGGCTCCTGAACCCCCACATTTTCAGGTTTCTGGAATCTCCAGTCCCAGGTGAAGGAGGCAGGGTTTTCTGCCTGTTGGTTCCAGGAAATGATTAAAGCCTGGCTTGGACTTCCTGCTCTTTTTCACCCGTCTCCAACAGTTATCTGCCAGAGATCACGGTTTTCATTTCATCCCAGGCCCTCGTTCCTCTTCCTCTTACAAAGCGAGCACCACCTCCAAGCCTTGAACAAAGAAGAACCTTCCTTTTTCTTCCCAACATCCTAAAGGGAACAGTCTTCTACCTGCTTAAGCCCTGCTGACTTAAACCCATCGAATCTGGCTTCTAACTGAGTCCTTCTGTCCTTGTACAAAAATTGGTGTCTTGGGGAATTCCCTGGCGGTCCCATGGTTAGAACTCTGCATTTTCACTACTGAAGGCCCAAGTTCAATCCCTGGTGAACTAAGATCCCTCTAGCCACAGGGCACAGCCAAAACAAACAAACAAAAAATTGCTTGTCTCAAAGATCACAGTGACTGAATCTATGCTTAGTTTTAATTTGGATTTAGTGTTCAGTGGCCAAGTCACTGTGTCTGTCCTTAACCAGGATGGATACTCGTCATCTTCAGGACACTCATCTAAATGCAGCCTCCTTGTGGAAGGGATAGTGTGTCCTGAATTAGCAGGACATACCAAGAGTTTCCAAGAGGAAGGAGCAGAGGTAAGATATAAATCCAGCTATCAAACCAGAAGTGTAGACCCTGAGACACCAAAGCTCACAATCCCAGGTGCATTAGTTATCTACTGCTGTGTAACAACATGTCCCCAAACTCAGAGGCTTTGAGCAACAATAAACATTTATTGGGCTTCCCCAGTGGCTCAAATGGTAAAGAATCTGCCTGCAATGTGGGAGACCTGGTTTGGATCCCTGGTTGGGGAGGATCCCCTGGCGAAGGGAATGGCTACCCACTCCAGTATTCTTACCTGGAGAATCCCATGGACAGAGGAGCCTGGCAGGCTACAGTCCATGGAGTCGCAAAAGAGTCGGATATGACTGAGCAACTCACACTTTCATGCAAACATTTATTATCTCACATGGTTTCTATGGATCAGAATTCAGGCCCAGCTAAGCCAGTGGTTCTGGTTCAGAGCTGCTCCAGATATTGCATCAGGTGTTGATTGGGACTGCAGTCATCCGGAGGCCACATCCAGGTCGCTGGCTCATATGGCGGGCAAGCTGGTCCCTCCTGGCAGGAGGCCTTCACAGGGTTTTGCATCCATCCACAAGACTGACACCTCCTTCCAGAATGAGTGATCAGAGGGGTGAAGGCAGAAGCCGCAGTGTCTTCAGACACACCTGGGGACATCTCCCAGCACAGTGTCTGCATTGTGCTATTGGTTAGTCAGTGGGGCAGGATCACCAAGGGTGTGGAGGCCCAGGGGCCCCTGCAGGTGAAGTAACTCTGGAACCCAGAAGGAACGTGACTCTGTAGGACTACCTACTTCATAGTTTTCAAACCTTTCTTTATCTCTTCTTTTTTAAGTGAAACCCTTTTATCAAAACCCCCATATATCACAACTATATTTCAATAAAAATTAAAGCCAACGCAAATTGTAAACAGCTATAATTTCAATAAATATTTTAAAAAATGCTTATATCAGAATCGCAGTTTATGTACAAATAAAAATAGTGCCGCCCTAGTTTAAGCCACTGGAGCTGCTGGTTTCCCTCCCAAGCCCTTCATCCCTCACGCTCTCTAGGTGGGTCTCTTTGCCCTCCAGAGAAGCTTCAAGGACCACTTGATTGCGGGCCGGTGGAAACAGCTTTTGGAAAGCAGTGTGGCACAGTCATTAAGATTTAAGTGCACCTGTCCTTTGTCCATCACTTCTACTTTCATCCATGTGCACTTGCAACTTTCATAGGTGCATAGAGATGTAGGTACAAGGCAAAATTTTAGAAACACTTAAATGCCCACTGATAGTGGGCTGCTTGCATAAATAATAGTACAGCAGGATGCTATGTGCCTGTTAAAAAAATTAGGAATTTTTTAATATATTGACCTGGAGAGATCTATTGTTACATCTTAGTTCCCTGACTCAGAGATCCAACCTGTGCTCCCTGCAGTGGCATTGAGGTCCTATCGATGGACTGCCAGGGACTTCTCAAAAGACTTCTGTTTTTAACTGTGTACCATTTAATATTTTTAAGATCACTTTCAACTGCCCTGTGGTGATTCACCTTTTAGTGAAATACAATTCATATTCCATGAAATTCTTCATCTTGAAGTGTTCAATTTAATGGTTTTTAGTTCACTCGCAAGGGTGTACTGCTGTCTCTGCTATCTAATTCCAGAATGAGATGGGTCACTTGGACAATAAATATTGTAAGGTAGAATGAGAAAGACCTCAATTGCTCGTTCCCGGTGTCCACACTGGCTTCGGTGGGCAGATCACCTAAAGGGACAGCCTGTGGAGGGGCAGTGGTCATCCCTCCCACCCCTTGGACCTCTCTCCACCTTTCAGACTTTGGAAACCCCTGGAGACTGCCTCCCACTTCCATCCACAGGGGCTCACATTGTGCATTTTGTTTGCCAGGCACTTGACTGACTTGGGATTTCTCTCTACCAACTGCCGTCGTCCCTTTCATTACCGGCAGGATTGTTAAGGCCAGCGCTGACATCCTTAGACGCCGTGTGTCCGTGGGCGTCTCTAACCCTCCTAGTGGCCACACCTTGGGTTCTCTAAGCACTGAGCGCAGGGAAGCAAGAAATAGTCCATAGACTCAGAACAGCAGGCAGGGGAGGAATTCCCCAACTCATCCCAGAGCCTAGCGTTTCTGTTACTGCGGCGAGAGCAGTCAGGAGGACCCCTTTCTTCTGTCTCACTCCACAGGTCCCCTGGATCTTTGAGGCTGTCACCTTCCTTTACAAGTTTAGTCCCGAACCCGCTGACAACAATCCAGTCTTCAGGATGGAGGGCTGTCGGGAGCCCAGGGTATCCTTGGTCCGACCCTGAGGGATGTGGTGAGTGGCCTTTTCCATCTTGGCTGAGTCTACCTCTGGAGTCTGGGTTCTTCCTGGTGGCAGCCACAGACCCCCAGGCCTGAGTTCTCCAGTTCAGGGCTCAACACTTCCCACCAGCCACTATCTTGGGTTCGGCCAAGGGCCAACTGTGTGCGCATCTCTGGGTCCCGTCCCTGGACCCAGCTCCAGCACAATCCCTGGACTAAGTCTCGGACCTGCGATAGCGGGCATCCCCCGTTACACTTTTACATTGTACCTTGAGCCCTTAGTGTGGGGACTATTGGAGCACTAAGACGCTCGCTGGAATCACCAAATTCCAACCTTAGTTCCACATTCCTGCACCAAGTACATGGGGTTGCCTGGTGGCTCAGTGGTAAAGAATCCGCCGCGATGCAGGAGCTGCAGGAGCCTCAGGTTCGATCCCTGGGTCAGGAAGATCTCCTGGAGGAGGGCATGGCAACCCACTCCAGTATTCTTGCCTGGAGAATCCCATGGACAGAGGAGCCTGGCGGGTTACCATCCCTGGGGTCACGAAGAGTCAGACACGACTGAAGTGACTGAGTTCAACACACACCAAGTATATAAAGGTGCTTGCATTCATAATCCTGACGCGCTCAGGGGCTAGCCTGATGTCTCACTGAACAAACCGAGAGAGAAAGCAACCACTGCCTGGGGGTATCTGATGCGTGGACAGACCGTGTGTCCTTTATAAACACCACACAACACATAATTAAATCTCAGAACGTGTGAGGCTCATACACTTCAGTGGATTCTGAGTCATCCTGATGCCTGTTTGCAGAATCTCAGCAGAAAATGTACTCAAGAAAACAGAGAAAAGGGACTCTGAGCAAAATGTAAAGTCAGTGAAACAAAATGCTTTTGTTTATTCGTATTCCAACCAGAAAGACCCCAGAAGGGCTAATCAATCTTGTATGTTTTTCAGGAGTTTTGTATCAATTCAAGGGTAGCGATCACCTCAGACAAATTCGTTTCTAAGAGGCATAGAATTTTCCCTATTTTAATGCAGACAGAAGAGAAACCAGAATATATAACTAAAGTTTAAGCATTATCAAATTGATTTCAGTTTGCTTTGGTTATTTTACTTCTTTATCTTCACAGTTAAGGGAAATCAAGGGAAAACATTCAAGGGAAAATTTGGGTCCCTGGACCCCTTCAGAGTGGGTTCCTGGTTTTCCACACCCTTCTTTTTGAGATTGCGTTTACCCATCACTGAGGATTTAGGTGATTCCTTTTCTTTATTCTAAAAATGTGCAGGCTCTTTCTGCTCCTACACAGAAAAATGTGAGCCAGCTCAGTGGCAGTGAATTGCTTGTTGTATCTTTTTTTTCTAAATTAAAAGCGAAGAAACAGGAGTTGAGGTGATGTAGGAATGAAGTGAAGTGAACTCGCTCAGTCGTGTCCGACTCTTGTAGCCTTCCAGGCTCCTCTGTCCATGGGATTCTCCAGGCAAGAATACTGGAGTGGGTTGCCATTTCCTTCTCCAGGGAATCTTCCCGACCCGGGGATTGAACCCAGGTCTACCCGCATTGCAGGCAGGCGCTTTAACCTCTGAGCCACCAGGGAAGCCCAGATATGGGATGGAAGTCCTCAAAGTTGCTTTTGCATGCAGAAGGGAGGGCCTCTGGATCCCCCAGCCTGGCTGACCTTCCTTCTGTGGTGACCCTGGGTTCCGGGGCTCTCCTGGGATCAGCTGAGCAGTGCACACAGGAGTCTGTGCAGATTTGGGCAGGACCGGGCAGCGCCCCTTCCTCTCTGTGTAACTCACCTTTCACCCTGAGGCCAAAAGTCCCGCTCCTCTATCGGGAGGAAAGAAAATGTCAGTATTTAGACCCTGCCTCATTCAAAGGATTGGGTCTCTTGGTCGCCAGTTGGGAAAGCTCTTCAGGCAGCCAGGATGGGAGGGAATCGGCTGGGCACAGCCCTGGGGGTCTCTCCGCATGCCTGGGGTGCACGGCTGGGATCCCCCGATGCCTCCGTCTTCCTTCCTCTTCTCTGCCAGCATCCTCTCTGCTCCACCCAAGTAAATCCACGGTCTCAGATCCCAGTCCAAACACACCAACACCGGGAGATCTCCCATCCTAGAGGGAGGAAGGAATGGGGGAACCAGCCTGGGAGCGGCCAGGACGCAAGGACCGCGGCTGCAGGGAGCACTGGCCACGCCCCGATGGGCGAGCTTCAGACACGCTGGCCCTGAGCACCAGCTGCTGGGCCAGACGTGTCCCCGTGCGGTAAAATACAAACCCTGACAGCAGTAACTCCATGAGAGTGCCCTCCACCCACCCACAGTGGGCACACACATGTGCACACACACAGAGAGACACACGCACACACCCACACAGACACACACGTGCACACACATGCACAGGCACACATGTACACACATGCATGGACATACACGTGCACACACCCACACAGACACACACGTGCACACACATGCACAGACACACGCATGCACCCACATGCATGGACATACACATGCACACCCACACAGACACACACGTGCACACAGACACATGCACACACCTGCACAGACACACACACATGCACAAACACACACATGCACACAGACACACACCCACACACAGAGAGACACACAGAGACACACACATGGACAGACATACATGTGCACACACAAGCACAGATACACACACAGGCACACGCACGCACATGCACACATAGACACACACGCACATGCACACATACCCTTTCCTCTGACTCACAGCATTTTTCCCTAGTGCGTAACTGAAACCAAATGCCACCCATTGCACACCCTGGGAGCACACAAGTACTAAAGAGAGATGCCCTAGTGCTTATACGGTTAAAGTATGTCGTCATTAAAAATACAGTTTTGAAGCCTGATGCATTGACAGTTTACAAAGGGAGATGTGAACACCTTTCTTTCCCCCCCCGTTATTCACCGTAATGTCCTCCTGTTACCATAGATACGGATCCACGGAGGGTGGCAGAGTCCTTAGAGATCCGTCCATGCCACCAGCCCCAGGTCAACCAGACGGCGTGTGGAAGCAGGGAATTCAGGGGCCACAGGGAGACCCCCACTCCAGCTTCTGTTTCCAGTGAGTGACGGCTGGACGTCAGGGGGCTTGCAAATGTGGACTCTTACAAGGTGGGCAAAAGTGACAGGCTCGGAGGAACTGGCCCCAACTCGGACTAGGGCATCCCCCCTCCCTTCTCCTGGCTCCGCCAAACCCGCAAGCCCTCACTCACCCGGCAGAAGCCTGCTGCTCCCCTCCAAAGGCAGAAACAGCCGTGGTTTTTAAGACCTGAGATGGTGCATCACTGTGGCTGTAACACTGGACTGAATCTTGTTCTGTATTCGATGTATCATATTCTCTGGGATAAAAAGACATTTCAGAGCAAAACAAAACACCAAACACTGGGCAAGTAAAGAGCCGCTGGAGTTACATACGCGGGGAAGAGCAAAGGTCTCCCAGACAGTGCAGCCAAATGAACAGGAAGCTCTCCGGAGAACAGGGGCAAATTCAGAAGCCAGTGGTCCAGATGAACGTGGACCCCAAGGTCCGATTCTGGGTTTTGCTTTGAGCTGCAAGCTTCATCACTTTGTTCAAAAACCCCAAAGTTTTGTGTTCATAACAAATGTATCGGCTTGATCACCCCTTACAGCTTGCTTCTTAACTCTTCTGTCTGCTTGATTGAGTCCAGGACTATGTATTTATGAAGTTCAAATTTGCCCTTTGAAGTGATGGAACTGTTTAGGAAAGAGTAGTGGTGACGGCTGCATGATCTTGTGAATGTAATGTCACTGACTTTACATTTAAAAATGGCAAAACGGCACCTTTTACATTTATGTGTCTTGCCACCACAGGAAAAAAAAGTTAAGTAGCTACCCAGAAATCTAACACACACACACACACACACACACACGCATCTACACATCATATATGCATGTATTTTTGTTTAAAAATAAAAACAGAATTGCATTATTAGTTAGCATGTATTTTGTTAAATACACATACATGATAGTGACCACTTTTTTTCCCTGAAGAATTATTAAGAATAAAATGAATCAATTTACTGAAACAAACAAACCCAAGTCGCCCTTTGAGCGCCCTGGTTGGAAACAAACAACAGAAGGCAGTGTCTGCCCCACAAGCATCTCTCTCTGGTTTAAGGTCGGGGAGGCTGCGTCACCAGGGGGCCCCAGGGCAGGGGTGGGTAAAGTGTCAGGTGTTTGGTCCAGTTGCCCCATCACCTGGGCGTCTAATGCACTCTGGAGGATGCCATCCAAGGTACCCACAGCTGCCCTTAGTAGAGGCCAGCTTCACCTGAACCTGGTACTGCTTAGAGGGTCCTAAGGAGGCGGGGGCGGGGGGAGGTGGGCATGTGGGACCACCTTGCTGTCCAGAGTCTGGGGAAATCTGACACGTGGTTTGTACACCTAAGCTGGTGTCTCTCTGACATCTGGGTGGAGTATTAGAGATCTACTTTCACTCTTTCCACCGTCTCTCTTCCAAAAAAAAGCAGAGAAAGCATTTGCTATGTGTGGTTAGATGGTTAAGCTGACATAATCTGAATGTTCGACTAGATACCACGACACTCTCCATGGAGACTGGCACAGTGTCCATCACTAGGAAAGAAAGTGAAGATGAACATCCCAACAGAAGAGAGATTGTGCTGATTATAATTCTCCCCTTCACATTCCTGGGTGCTCACAGAGGCTCTTTCTACGAGTTTATCTTAAAGATGCCCCTTGTGAATGTGACTATTTGTGTATGTGGACATTACTGAAAAGGCTGAAGTGTGACCAATTCTTCTTTCCATTGAGTGTGGGGATTTTTAAAACCATAGAATTTGTTTGCAGAACAAGATCCACCCATGTAACGCCTTGCTGTGTGAGGCTGCACACAGCCCACTGCGTGTAGCGATTTCACTTGATGGGTAAAAAAGTAAGATCAGCCTTTGGCTTTCAAATGGCAACTCAACGCTGACATGAACCTAGATCAGGACAGGATGCTTCATGGTGTGTGACCATTTGTCTTGTTATTACGAATTGTTAAAAATGCTGAAAATGCAGATGAGTGGATGGGTGCACTGGGAAAGCTTGGTAGATTAGACATGAGATTTTTAACAGACATAATGAGTTTTACTCGTAGTTTTCAAAACAGGCCATCTTTTCTTCTTTTAAAAAGTTCATAACAATTCAATCGGTATTAATAACAAAGGAAAAAAAATACATATACACCACAGTGGAGCCAGTGGAGAGGCATTCAGACCACACATTTCCCGCTGCATTTTGTGAGCTGGGAGAACTTGCTAAAAAGCAGTGTTTTAGGAAAGTAGAAATCTTTTCCAAAATTACAACTAAAGTCTACTCTTGTGGTCAACTTCACTTAAATTCCTGATTTGGGGGGAAATGCAGATTTTAGGCCTCTTTAGAAATTACCTGCATAACTGAATATGTCTTAAGCCTTCAGATACATTTATAGCTATTTAATATATGAGACCTTACTTTGAAGACAAAGGTCGTTACGTAAATGATAGAAGTAAAATTCTGTTAGACATAGATGAATGCTCATGTAGAAGCTTTTCAAAGTGTTAATGGATAGGCTAATTATTCTTGTTAAAAATAGATTTTAGGCTTTGTCTTTTCTAATTAAAAGATATAGTCTTGTTAATTCACGTGCAAAAAAAAAAGTCAGCCACTGTTTAACACTTGAATTTAACATTAGCCATTAACATTAAATTTAAATAACATAACATTAAGCATTAGAATTTAACTATTAGCCACTTGAATTTAACATTAAAATTGATACACTATGTAAACTATTTTGCACAAATTTCTTGCACAAACTAAATTATCTATCCCACGATGAGAAAGCAAAGGTGACTGAGGTGAGAAGCTGTGGTTTATCAGAGTAGTCACTGGACTGAGAAAGTGGTTTACACAAGCCTCTCGACCTTCTCAGTGAAAGGATGGATCGGGTCCTTAGGATCCCTCAAAACACTAACCATTTGATTCCAAATGGTCAAATGAGGAGGGCTGGTAATTTTCACTAGAGTGGATATGTCCACAGCTACACCTCTGTGTGCATGTGTGTGTGCGCGTGCATATGTGTGTGCATGTGTGTGAGAGAGAGAGAGAGAGAGAGGGCAGACTTGGCTACTTTTTCCATAAGGCCTTAAATTCATTACAATTCAATGTAACTCCTTAACTGTAATCACTAATGACACCCCGGGCAAAAGTAATAGTAAATAATGAAAATAAAGTTTAAGACAGTTTTGCTTTGCTTTTTTGTTATTTGTTTAAATCAGAGCATGATTTACAGTTTAGTAACAGATCAAAGGACAAAATGAGATAGGTAACTATGAATTATTTTTAAGTCCATGAGCCCCTTCAAGACAAGTCTTGTGTCTTTCCTTTATACTAAATCTTAAGATTCATATTAACCCTTCACCAATGTTTAAATGTTTGGATGGACTGGTTCCAATTTGGGAAAGGAGTACATCAAGGCTGTATATTGTCACCTTGCTTATTTAACTAATATGCAGAGCACATCATGCTAAATGCCGGGCTGGATGAAGCACAAGCTGGAATCAAGATTGCCTGGAGAAATATCAGTAACCTCAGATACACAGAATAACACCCTTATGGCAGAAAGTGAAGAGGAACTGAAGGGTCTCTTGATGAAAGCAAAGAACAGAGTGGAAAAGCTGGCTTAAAACTCAACATTCAAAAAACTAAGACCATGGCACCCAGTCCCATCACTTCATGGCAAATAGATGGGCAAACAGTGGAAACAGTGGCTGACTTTATTTTCTTAGGCTGCAAAATCACTGCAGATGGTGACTGCTGCCATGACATTAAAAGATGCTTGCTCCTTGGAAGAAAAGTTATGACCAACTTAGACACCGTGTTAAAAAGCAGACATTGCTTTGCTGACAAAGGTCCACATAGTCAAAGCTATGGTTTCTCCAGTAGTCATGTATGGATGTGAGAGGTGCACCATAAAGAAAGCTGAGTGCCAAAGAACTGATACTTTTGAACTGTGGTGCTGGAGAAGATTCTTGAGAGTCCCTTGGACTTCAAGGAGATTCAACCAGTCAATCCTAAAGGATATCAGTTCTGAATATTCATTGGAAGGACTGATGCTGAAGCTGAAACTCCAATACTTTGGCCACCTGATGCAAAGAACTGACTCATTGGAAAAGACCCTGATGCTGGGAAAGATTGAGGGCAGGAGGAGAAGGGGATGACAGAGGATGAGATCATTGGTTGGCATCACCGACTCAATGGACATGAGTTTGAGCAAGCTCTGGGAGTTGGTGATGGACAAGGAAGCTGGTGTGCTGCAGTCCATGGGGTCACAAGGAGTTGGACACGACTGAATGACTGAATTGAACTGAATGTTTAAAATGTGGACAGATGGATGGATTCACAGGAAAGGGTTAGAAGAGGAATAAAACCCAGACTTGATTGATCAGTGGTACCCTACAGATGGAAAGGAAATTTCCATTGAATATAGAGTTAAGTAAGTGGTGTCAAAGGCTTCCCTGGTGGCTTACTGGTAAAGAACCCGCCTGGGAATGCAGGATATGCAAGAGATGTAGGTTCAATCCCTGGGTCGGGAAGATTCCCTGGAGAAGGAAATGGTAGCCCACTCTAGTATTCTCGCCTGGAAAATCCCATGGACTGAGGAAACTGGTGTGCTACCATCAATGGGATCACAAAGAATCAGACACGAGTTAGCAACTGAACAACATTAACAAAAGCAGTATCAATGTACTTAGCAATAGTTCTCAAAGCACGACCTTTTACACATGCAAAGAAGAAAACAAAAAACAAAAAACTGGGGCATTTGTCAAAGTGCACATACCTGGGATACTCTTTAGATTTCCTAAGTTAGAACTGTATAGCAGGGTCCAGGAATGTGCATTTAAAAAAAATAGTTTACTTTTTGTGAAAGCAATATCTGTGTCTGTGTTTTTTTTAATCAAGCAGTATAAAAGGATCTTAAAATAACAGGCAACAGTCTCAAGTCCCACCCCTACCAACCCAACACAACATACCACTTCCTACTTCTGCTTGCTTTTAATTTTTGCCATGGTTCCCTATCCCACTTAGAGTTTAGAGCAAAGGTTTTTGATTTGAAGCACTTAGGTCATTATCTGTTTCTGCTCTAGGAAAGAGAATTTTTGTTTAATTCTGTTAGTTACATGTGAATCTGTTAATAGTTGTCCTTAAGCATTTTGGTATTCTATTTATCTCAAACACTGATAATATTTATGTTTGGTTCTCTTTTTTTTATTGTGTTGTTTTCTGCCATACATCACGATGAGTCAGCCAAAGGGATGAGTATGACCCCTCCCTCTTG